CCCATGGCTTGGGTAACCAGCGGCGAGTGGGATCCAAGCCCGGGATGCCTGAAAGGCATTCGGATCCCACCACCCTCCCCCCGCGGCTTGGATCCGACCCGCAGCCGGCTACCCCAGGCATGGCCGGACTCCTGAGAGGCCGACCATGGCTGGGGGAGCTGGCCGCGGGGGAGGGGCAGTGCCCCCCAGGTGAGTGGCAGGAGCGCTCCTTCGGAGGCTCCCGCCGCACAGCTGGGGGAAAATGGTGCCTATGGGGAAAACATTGCAAAGCGATTTTTCCCCATAGGCAACATCGGTATGCGATCGCAAAAGCGATGGCAAAAATGCCATCGCTATGCGGATTCATCGTTAAACGGGGCACTCGTTATACGAGGCACCACTGTATTTTACTTTTCAGTTGCCTATGGGAATATCATTTATCAACAGAAACTATTCATGTTTTCAGTTTTCTTCATTGTGAGACCCTCTTGCATATGAAAGAAGATGGGAAATAAGGTTTACAGTTTATCATTCATTAAAAAAACAATGTAGTGCAGAGCAGCGGTCCCCAACCTTTTTGGGACTGTGGACCGGCTCAGCTTCCAAGGAAAGCCGCCCCCGCAGGTGCGCGCAGGTTTGCATGCGATCTCGGGCACATGCGTGAAGCGGTGGAGGTCCGCCCGCGTGTTCCCCCCTTCGCACGGGCACTTGGGTGCATGTGCAAAGCAGTGGGGCAGCGCTCCCCCACCCCTTTGTGCATGGGCAGGGGCGCCTGCATGCCCTTCGCATGGGCACTCGGGCACATGCATGAACGGGTGGGGGAGCACTCATTCTGGACGGGAGTGCATGTGGGGGGGTGCGGGAGGTCTGTCTTCGCAGCCCGGCTCAGGCCACGGACTGGCACTGGGCTGCGGACCAGGGGTTGACTACCTCTGGTGTAGTGTCTTTAATGCTGGACTAAGACAAGAGTGATGAAGGTTCAGTTCCCCGCTCTGACAAAACTGAATGGATTACGTTGAGTAAACTGAAACTCTTAAACTTTAGTTCTTCACAGGACAGAACTATACATGAGACACATTGCCCTGAGTTTATCAGAGGAAGTAGAAAAAGTGCTGAACAATTAAACTCAGTACAAATGGTTTCATTATGAACCAAGTGTTCTTATCATCATGTACAGTTCACTGAAAAACACAAGGCTTCAGCAATCTCCAAACAACAACTGTTCTAGGAAACACTGATGAATCTGCCACCACTAACCTTAGCTCCACTGAAAACATTAGCAACAATATCTTGGCAGGCTGCTACAGAACCGTCTCCATTGAACTCTAGAGCAACAACAGGACCTAGAAAATAAAAGTATAAAAATACACTTGCATTTTATTTAGGTTTGTATGTACTGGTGTATTGGCAATAAAAGAAAGGACACACTTCTCTTGCTATAAAACTGTGCATGTCTGCAAAACTGCTCCAGAGAGCTCAAGTGCAATCTGAAGCAGATCTAGAAGGATTATAGAATGGAGGGAGAATCCTACTGTGTAAACAAAATAATGCTACCATTTCTATAATGGAGAGGAAACAAATATATTATTTCTTTTCCTAATACAGGCTTCTTTTTGGAGTTCAGTTTTAAGATTAAGCTTTTTCTAAGCTGGAACCAGCTATGTGGACCAATATATGGGTTTTTCTAGAAAGGGTTTATTAGAAAATCTTCAACACCATTATTTTACTGGTGACTTAAAAATCTTAGCTACTCATAGCTTCATCAATTAAAAAAAGCCAGAATAAATGTCACCTGGCAACAGCAACTATTCTAACTCCATTAAACACAGTCCAATATCAGATCATATATTATGAACAATTAATGCAACCAAGATCTAGATAAGGAAGTTTCACCCCTTCATGAACTTATTGGCCTCTGCTCAATCAATCAGCTTTGTATCTTCTCAAGCCATGTGCAGGAGGGTTTAGCTTCAGAACCTATTCTGTGCTTCCATAAAGGTTCTCTAGCATTGTGACTGTATCTTTGATGGATACATTCAAGCTGTTTTGAATTCTGAAAGCAATTTAACAGTCATAATTGTTATATATCATAATTCAAAATTTCAGTTTAAGAAAATTATAAATTTTCTACTTTATGATCTGACTTCATTGAGATAGCAACTGCCAATTGCCAGGAGGGAAAAGAGAATGTCTCACAAAAGGGAGTACTTTGCTATTTTGATTGCATAATCCTGTTGAGTTTAGGCAGGTGTCATTTACCAGGGGGCTGTTTTTGGAAGTTAAATACATCCTACTTCTGCTTTGGGACTTCCACAGTTTCTGTGTAACGCCTTTCATCCTATGGGAGCTGGGATTGTCCCACCTTGCCACCTGTTCCACCCAAATTACGATGCTGCAGGCCGCCACCCCAAGGGAGGCCAGAAATCGATAACTAAGAACCAGGCCTTCTCAGTGGCTGCTGCTACATTATAGTAACAATTAACTTTAAGTGCAAATAAGTAGGTACTTCAACAGACATGGTGTAAGCATTCAACATTTCATCAGTTGTAAATGTTATTTTGAACAGCTCAAGAATTTGCAGGATGACATGGATAAAATTCAGCTTACATATACAGTGGTGCCTCGCATTACGATGTTAATTCGTTCCAGCGAAATCGCTGTAGAACGAAAACATCGTAAAGCGAAATTTAAAAGCCCATAGAAACGCATTAAAACCCGATTAATGTGTTCCTATGGGCTTGAAACTCACCATCCAGTGAAGATCCTCCATAGCGCAGCCATTTTCGCTGCCTGTGCAGCGAGGAATCCGTCCCAGAAAAGAGCGGGGAGCCATTTTTTAATCCGGCGGCCATTTTGAAACCGCCAATCAGCTGGCCGAAAATCGTCGTTTTGAGAGAATCGGTTTCCAAAGCAGGGAACTGATCATCGCAAAGCGAAATTCCCCCATAGGAAACATCGTTTTGCGATCGCAAAAACTTTGTCATAATGTGATTGCATCGTTAAACGGGGCGCTCATCTTACGAGGCACCACTGTATAAGAAATATTTTATCTATGTTAAGGTGAATTGGAAAACAACTGATCACAGACTTAAAACGTTACCTGGGAAAATGACATAAGCATGTCTGACAGAGACTTGATCCAGTTGTCACCACTGGTTTGCAGAATATTTTATACCAATGGCAAACTGCGAGCTAGGTATCTGATCCAAATTCAACCAAGTTTGCTAAGACTGTCCCATTTCTGTTCAACGGCCTAAAAATGGGTTTTGAACGTTTTTGTGCCATGTTTCTTCAATTTTATCTTAATTCTGGGGCAAAAATAGAGATCTGTGTGGAATTTTAGAATAGTCATACCTCTTTCAAGTAAAGGTATAAATTCAGATGCTCTTTGCTGGAACACTCGCTGAGCATCATCAGCTTTCATTGAAACTTCTTTAGTCTGAATCAGCCAAAAACCTTTGCCCACCATCTGTTGAATTGCAATAAGAAGTAGAATTTCATCTATAACAGGAAGACATTGTCTAATGTATAATTTTACATGCTTAAATGTTGATACCCAAGCTGCACAACAAATGACTTGGTTAACAATACAAATACTCCCTCTTATTTATGCAATTCTTTATTTAAGAAGAATTGCCTCATTCATCTGAATCCAAATTTAACCACAGGTTACTATACTGTTATCAAGAGAGCAACCTAAAATGGCAAAATGGTCAAGTTTGACTCAAATACAAACATTCTGTATCTTCCTACAATTCAGGTAATTTCTGTCCGAGCCAGAGAAACTAGAAAGGAAAAGGGAAAAAATGACTGTCAACACCTATGACAATGCAAATCAGTTCAAATCTTTTCCTGCATAAATACTAAATTAGGTTCTGTGAAAGTGCTTTCAATCTGTCATTGATTTTTACTAGTCTACAGTCAATTGCTCTAAGAATAAAGTGTCTGCCAATTTTTGAATATTACAACTAGAGGTAATTTGAGTTTTCATGCAGCCAGTGAAAACAATGAACAAGTTCTCTTAAATCTAAGATTCTATAGTCACTACATTATCCAAATCTACTCAATTTCTAGTTGTTGCCCACTCCATGATTCATTTCCTGATGTCCTTAGAACAAGGAACAGATACATATTTTGAATAGATGCAACAAAAGACTAACTAGCCTGTTCACAGATCACATGATGCCTGCATTTATTGAGTTTTTTCCCAGTATTGTGGAGTACAGACATTAAGTGGGCTCCAGAATAAACCTATTGCATCAAAAATTTTATACAGCTCTCTAAAATCCCTTCATCTTCTACACTACAGTATTCCTAGTATGCAAAGCATTTGCTACTACACAGAAAGAGACACATGTTACAGGGACAGATCAGAACTGTCTAGAACTGCAGAGTTTGGCTTAAACCAAGTGTGATTTCCCAGCAACCACTGAGAAGTCAGGCAACTATTTCACACTTTAACAGTCTACAAAAAAGTGAAGGATCTTTCAGTAAAAACGTACAGTGTATGAAAGAGTGAAGCGCTTCTTACCTCATCAATTAACTTTCGTGCATTTGCAGTTGTATAATCTCCAGCAAAGAATACTGCCAGGCAGGACTCTTCACTGTGTTTTGGACGTCTTCCTTGTGTTACAGGAATGATACTTCTGTTGGCATCAGCTGAAATCCTGACAGCTTTCAGGTCATCAGAAGCTGGCAGTGGTACATAGTCCTGAACTATAGCATCCTCAGCTAAAAGGCTCCAGTTGTTTTCTCCCGAGACTGGTGTGAAGTCATGGATATTGCTCCATGTGTTGTTAAAGATGCTCAGCCCAGCATCTTTCAATTGCAAAGCCAACTCTGGATAATAGTACTGGAAACAACCAAATTTCATACCTGTGGAGGATTCAATAATAGGTTGGGTAGCACAGCACAGAAAGACGTCCATCTTTCTACAGTCCCGAGTACGAAACTGTTGGCAAGCTACAACACATTTACAGTCTTTGCAGTCACGGAAAAATACACTGCCTTTTATAGGTCCTAGAAAGATTCTGCAGCCTGTGCAGTCATCAATTGTAATTGTAGCAGAATGGTCAAAGATGTAGATATTGCAGTTCTCACAATCCTGAATAACAAACTGTTGCCCTGCAACTTTCCCAGGTAAGCGTCCTACTGTTTCATCCTTGAGGCCAGAAAACATATAATCTTTAGGATCAATCTAGGAAAAAAGTAAAAAGAAAAGAAAAAAAGAAGCACAATTAGTGAGTCAATATACTTGATACATAAGGGTTGTCCTTCAGTTAGGCTAGTCATTTAGGACCATATTTTGATTAATACCTGATTTCATTTCTGGGGATATAGGGAATGTTTTTAATTAACACCAGTAAAAATTCAGAATCTTTGGCCAGAAACCTATTGCAGTTTTATGTTAGTGTGTATTAAAAAACATGTGAAGGATTTTCAGTTTTTCACAGTAATATAACACTTTGCAGAAAATACAATAAAGTCGATGAAGCTGTGTTTGTCTTAAATTATGACAAATGGAAAAATTAGATATGACCTAGAATGTATCTGTGTACTGATACACTATGCTCATAGCTAGCAAAACCTATTACTGTATAACTAGCAAATCCTATTTTTACCAGAGAAAAGTTGCAACAGTAATATAAGAATATTTTATTAACTTTGATTTTGTCTCTAATGCACTTTATAGAAAATGATTAAGTACTAAAATAGTTTGCCAAAGAAAACAAAATACAACAGCGTCCATCTACTTGTCTCACTACCGAAACAAGAGATAACTGTTCTCCTACAGCTTCAATGTGATGAGATAACTGTGTTAGTTTTCTGCATTGTTTTTGCTGCTGGAACATATTTTACCTGATATTCTTCATGGAGTACAGCCACAAATTGCATCTTTGCTGTACTACAAATATTGCATTGTTTTTGCTTCTATCTAGTTTAGCCCCTTCAAAAACTAAATTTTTGTTAATCCCTGATAAAGAAACAGCAAAATCCACTTCTAGCAGATACCAAAACAACATTGAAGATTTGTATATCTCTTTGAACAGAAATTGGATATGTTACCTATGAATCCACTTTTGACTGACCTGCTTAGCCTCAATATAATGCCAAAACAATATGCTGTGGGATATGGAATAAATGACTGGAAATTTGAACACACACAGTCCAAAATTTTGCTGCAGGTTCCACTTGAGAAACTATCACTACAAGTCGTTCAGGGCTGCATCTCATATGAATGTTATCTGGCAAAACTCCTTTACCTTAATTCTAACCCTTCCCCAGAGTCTTACAACATTAAACCCATGGCTTGATGTAATCCGCTTGAAAGCTTTAGATGACAAAAGACATTTCGTCATGGTTAAATATAAAATCTGAGAGAATACAAACATACACCTATTTACAAGTTATAGGGTACAAGGAATCTCTTTTGCACCTCTTGTTTCTGTACTTTATTCATTCAAAAACTATTCATAAATCCAAATACTCACTCTGCATTCATATCCAAAATGAAGTATTCAGGGTTTGTTTATGAGAATTAATTGTAGAGACTCACAAAAGTAGTGAGGCAGCTAAATGAGTTACATTTCAAATACAGTTCACCTACACATTGCCTAAAAAACCTAAAAATTTCTGACAGCAGAGGCAACATTTATGCCACCAGCCAAAGTGATAAAGCAATAAATAAGGAAAGTACTGTACCTACTTAGCCTTTAGTTCTGTTAAATACTTCACACTTGTTATAAAAACAGAAACAGAAGATTTTGACCAATTAATAACTCTAATACCTAAGCCAAGCAAAGTTCATCCTAGTTATCAATATTTGAGAACCTGTACAGAACAGTTGGTCTTCACTTTCAACAAGGGAAGCCTTAAGAGCATCTTTCTTTAAGATGGAGCTCCCCAAATTTGCTGTCCAGATAGTTTCCCACAAAAAGAAAACGGTTGTTCAGGAAAAACAGAGCACTTTTAATATACACATTTTTAAAATGTATTGTGTCTACAACCATTACAAAAAGTACTCTTGCCCAAACACTCAAATTCAAATAAAGGTGTACCCCTCTTCTAAGCCTAGTCACCCCCACTAACAAGACTTTGTATTTCTTAATATTTGTACTCTTTTAAAGGTGCTGTGAATGTAAAGGTGATGGCTAAGTCTAAGACACCTTGAATATTTTCTGGTTTAAAAGCAGGGTTTAAGTAATAATAGCGTCAGCAGATATGTTTATTTTCTTGATAAAACAAGTGTCATCATATCTAAATCAAGAATGTTAAGAAAGCTAGTTAATCCTGTGAAACACCATGTTCAACAGCATGCTTTACTGCTGCACATAGGGCTGAAATGTTCTCTAGACTACTAACAAGAAATCATATTAACTGTTTTAGTCCTAATTCATCTCTTCCAGAAGCAGAGGATATTGTCTAGAACACAGGCCCCCGCCTAATTCATCTCTTCCAGAAGCAGAGGATGTCTAGAACACAGGCCCCCAGTCCGCAACCTATGCAGGACTGCGAGCTCATTCCGCTCCCTTTGAGCGTGTCAAGCACTTGCATGCTAACACACCCCACACTCAACCACAACATGAGCATGCACGCGAGCACATTCCAGCCCCTGCGAGTGCACCATGCACATGTGCATGAGCACCCCCCCACGAGCGTGACGTGTCATGCCCCCCCCAACTGGTCCGTGGTTGGGAACCACTGGTCTAGAGCAGATGGCCATCTATGTTCATATTCATGAAACCCTCCCTAATCCATCCCAGGATTTTGGCTACTGTGAATAAAGAGTGAGAGATAACTAAAAAGCAGGACATAAGCAAAGTATTTTAAGAACTAAGAAAACCACTATATGATATCGCAGTTTTAAAATCCAGTCTTTACAGTATACCACATATTTGTTAAAATAGGATTTCTGTCCTATAATATATGTCAAACATTTTCCCTGCCTATTGCCACTCTGTGGGAAGATAAATAAAATCGTTGTATGTTCACTTTAGTTATTTATTTAAATTAATAAGATTCTAATTTTCTAGAGTCTTTGACATTTTATAATCCTCAGTGTACAGTCTACCATAAACTACACAGTACTACCGAAAAGCTGAAAGGAAGTTCCTTTGATTGCCACAAGAGGAAGTGAGTCAAGGATTACATGGGAGTTTGTTCCCTTCAAATCAACACTAAAGAAAACCACACATGATCAAATATTCCATGTTTCTCCATTTTTTTGTAAGTGCCTCATGCACTAGGCTGCTGAACAAAAATATGGAAAGGTCAAGAAAATAATGTAGCTTAAGAGAAAGATTTCTACACAGCCATAGAAAGAGCTACTTACCAACATACACAAAATCCTGAGAGCAACCTGCAAACACATCTCCATATGCAAGGGATTTTTAGGATATACAGTTAAATTAATAAGCAAGAAAGCTGACATGACACCAAATACACAAGATTACACTGATGCACCTTTAGTGAGGAATCTATACTACCAAGTTTATCACTACCTAATATCTAATATTAACATGCTTTAAAGCCAAATCTGACTTACTACAACCCTTTCTAGAGTGTTCTAGTAACAGAGTTCTCAGAAGGGATTCACCATTCTTTTCTTCTGGGAATGACCTGGAATTGTGCAGCTTGTCCACGGCTACACAGGTCAACTTTTCTCTAGGAGCTCACACTGGTGAGTCAAACCGTCAGCATCTGACTCAAAAGCCAGACTGCAACTCAATGAATTATTAAGCCAGCTACTATACAGTATCCAAGAGGTGGCAAGAATACACAGAGGAATTATACCAGAAAGATCTGGATGTCCCAGACAACCCAGATAGTGTGGTTGTTGACCGTGAGCCAGACATCCTGGACAGTGAAGTCAAGTGGGTCTTAGAAAGCATGGCTAACAACAAGGCCAGTGGAGGTGATGCCATTCCAGTTGAACTATTTAAAATCTTAAAAGATGACGCTGTTAAGGTGCTACACTCAATATGCCAGCAAGTATGGAAAACTCAACAGTGGCCAGAAGACTGGAAAAGATCAATCTACATCCCAATCCCAAAGAAGGGCAGTGCCATAGAATGCTCCAACTACCGTACAATTGCACTCATTTCACACACTACCAAGGTTATGCTCAAAATCCTCCAAGGTAGGCTTCAACAGTATGTGGACCAAGAACTTCCAGGAGCAATGAATGGAAGTGAGAGCTGGACCACAAGAAGTTTGACTGTGGAAGAATTGATGCCTTTGAATTGTGGTGCTGGAGGAGGCTCTTGAGAGTCCCCTGGACTGCAAGGAGAACAAACCTATCCATTCTGAAGGAAATCAACCCTGAGTGCTCACTGGAAGGACAGATCCTGAAGCTGAGGCTCCAATACTTTGGCCATCTCATAAGAAGAGAAGACTCCCTGGAAAAGACCCTGATGTTGGGAAAGAGTGAAGGCAAGAGGAGAATGGGATGACAGAGGATGAGATGGATGGACAGTGCTACTGAAGCTACCCACATGAATTTGACCAAACTCTGGGAGGCAGTGGAAGACAGGAGGGTCTGGCGTGCTCTGGTCCATGGGGTCATGAAGAGTCAGACACAACTTAACTAAACAAGAACCATATCCAATATCAATTAAATCTCAAAGTGATAACCAAATAAATCTGTTGGAACAAAAACAATATGAAGAGCTTTGAGACTAACAGTTGATGATGGACTTGTGACACAAGCTTTCATGAACTGGAATAAACACCAAAAAGTCAGAGGGATACTTCATGTGTCTGATGTCTTTAATTCACTAGGGCCTCTGTCATAACCAATATACAAGATCAAGTTTTACAGTACTGCTTAAATAGCAACAGGACATACTAAAATGTGGTGCAAGTGTCCTTAAGTATCTTAGGAGTATGAGGTAATGGGGAGGAGGAAAGTACTGTACTGGAACAGAAGGTACAATGTGTAAGAATGTGAAAAGTTAAAGGAAGCAAGAAAATATTAAGCAAATTCATTCAAAAATGCAGCTGAACATCTCCATGACCAACACAGCCATATCAAACTTGCACATAACAGCAATACTTTTAAGACATGAAATGCCCCTAAGTATATTACCCAACATATTATTCTCTGGATTTAAACATCATCCTTCTTCTGAGACACTCCATCCACATTCCCAGTCATGAGTCTGGGAACCTCCTTGCCTGCCAAAAAAGGAGGGAAAAGCAGACTTTTTGCCAGCATCCCAATTTCTTTAACTCCAGGGTGCGAAGGGGTAAGAAGCCACTAACTCTGCATGCACGCACAAACCTTCTGGGCGTGAAGAAGCTCCTCTAAAGACGTCTGAGCCTCGCCCATCTCCAAGGAAGCTCTAGAGAGAAGACGCCTCCCTCTAGCCCCCGTCGGCGCCCTACTATGCACAGCCTCCACCATTCACAGAAAGGTGCGCAGAGCGGGGCGAGAGGAGAGCAGAACAGGATCAGGGCAAAGCTTTAGGTGAAGGAAAGCGGCCGCCCCAGGCAGCAGATTCTGGGTGTCAGGAAACAGCACCGAATCGCCGGGGTTTGCTTGCTCGCTTGTATAAGCACCATATTTTTAGTGCGAGAATAAAGCGGGTGGCGGGGAGGGCGGAAGAGATTTTTATTCCGTCGGATGTCGAAATAATCTGGCCGGTTTTGGACACTACACAAATTAACCTTGTGTTAACAGCGGGGGACGGGAGAGAGAGAGAGACCATATTGGTGGTCCGCCTCAGGCAGCAAAATATCTTAGGCCACCGTTTTTGAGGGCGGGTTAAGGAAAGGCTCCCTGGACAGGTAGGGGCAAAAGGAAACGTCAGGAGAGGAAAAAGGAGGGGGGGAACGCTTCTTCGGGACGACCCGTCGCTCTCTCTCTCTCAAGGGGCGCCTGTTTCAGGAGAAGGAAGAGAGCGGAATGGCGGTTACCTTGGCTCGTTGGTCCCAACTGTACTGCGGCTGTTTTTCGGCCTCCTCCGGAGATACAGCCCCGTCTCGCACCCCGCTCTCCGCGTCGGGCTTCGGCTCCTTGGCCTGCTTCCTCCGCCTGGAGAAGAAACAGCCCATGTCTCAGCCCCTCACCGACCCACGACGCAACCCTCCGCCGCACCGAAACCCGGTCCAGCGTCTCCCCCTTTTCCCTCACGCTCTCCAACCACCCGCAACGGCTCCCGTTAGCCCAGTAAGCCTCGCCGTGCCCCGCCCTCTGCTTTAAGAGCCCACTTCCGGCTTCGCCTTCGCTCGTCTCCCAGGGCGACGGCGGCTCCGCCCCTGCCTGGGGGGGGCTCGCAACCAATCCGCGAGCAGCAATCGAGAAGCATTTCCGTCAATCAGCTTCGCCCGCGAGTGTGGACACGCTGTTACCCCGCCCCCTCCTCGTCCATTCAGAGGGACCGAGGGAAGGGTCGGCCTCCAAACGGGCGAAGAAAAGCGGTGGCGGCTTGGCTGCCGTTATCTTTGCGACGTGAAAGTTGAATAGTGTACATAAAGCTGCTAAATATGTGGGTCTGGAAGATGCTCTTGTTCTAATTCCGGGGAGGGAGGAGGCGGACAGGGTGGTTAACACCTACTCAGTGGGGCGGATCGACGAGAAGTATTTTGCACATGTTTAGAGCTTACGTCTACCAGAAAAAAAAGGTGCGATAATCACAAAAGTTTTCAGAACCAACGCCAAGCAATTTAAAAATTAGCTCCTATCTGGTCGTTGACATACATGAAGAGTGATTTCTGAGCGCCAAGCGTTTTTACTGCAATTTTCAGTCTAATAAAGTACTTCAGTAAAACTATATGCGGCAGTTCTGTTTTGTTTTTTCAGTATATTGAATAAATATATTAAAAAAATACCCATTAACAACGTTGAGATGAGTGGCTTAAAAATAAAGTGACTGTGTGGAGAAGTAGTCTGATAACACTTCTGCAATATGCACGGATGTTATTGTTTGTACTTTTGACAACAATGTAAATAATAAAAATAGATGCAAAGACGTTTTGTATACCTTCATAGAGTTACTAAGCACGCTTAAATTATATATTTAAACCTTCATCAGTCTTAGTAATCTAAGTAAATGTTCCTCTTGTTTTACTGAACAGTCATCTCGTCATCGTCTAGTCGTTCAGTCGTGTCCGACTCTTCGTGACCCCATGGACCAGAGCACACCAGGCCCTCTTATCTTCCACTGCCTCCCGGAGTTGTGTCAAATT